ACGCCGCCCGCGTTCCTGTCCTCAGAGGAGACAACCGCAAGTCCTGGAGCAGCTGAGAGCAGCGACCCAGAGACACCATCTCGGAGCTCCTCGGACGGAGGAAAGCTGAAATCTCCTCTTGGGCTGCGTTATCGCCTGGAGAAGATAAGAGCTTTTCATTTGGCAATTTAACCATTTTGGTGTCTCTACTCACATTGCCTCTCGCTGTTTCTCGGCCTGAATTGGAGGCCGTCTCAGGGACCGCAGAGGGCAGGAGCGAGTGAGCGGGCGGGCGGGCACATTTTTTTGCCGTTGTGTGCAATAAGTCAGCTTTTTGGCTCCTTGTTGACGTCAAGAATGATGCACGGGGCCCTTCATGTTGGTTGAGTAAGTGCATCTTATTTTGAAAAGACTTATTTAGTGGGGGGACAACTTCTTGTCTTTGCTGTTGTTGTGGAGAGAAAAAAAAAAAGCAAGATGGCGTGCACCTCTTAGTGTACATTCCAGAGATATCATAGGAGATGGCCGATCCGCCACTTAGCCAAGCCCTTGCCGTGTATACTTTTAACGAAAGTTATTTTTATTTTATTTTATTTTATTTTTTTGTCCGTGTTGACACGTCACTGTGGCAGATCAGGAAATTGTTCAAATGACGTTAATACACACACAAATAGAAAGTCTGGAGTCTGTGTTGGTGCAGAGGAGAATTATTAGGGCCACACTGAGAATCAAAGATGCAAACAACTCAACATTGGCATTTTAAAGAATCAAAACATTATAAGCCAAGTCACAAAAAGTCGTACAATTTTGTTTTTTGGGGGGGGGGGGGCGTTTTGACTTTGTTACAATGTGCACTCTTGAAAACATACTGGGTTGTTTTTGAACGCAAAGAAAACGGGGAATGGCCGACAACTTTTGGGGTTCTTCATTGAACCCAAAATGTTGGGTCAAATGAATAACCCAAAAATGATCTTATAAAAAAAAAAAAACGAATTTTGGAGGTTTCAAACAAAACCCAATTTTTGGGGTTGTGACCCAACTGTTTATAGAGTGTATGTTTAGGACAATGGCATGTAACTGACAAGAAATGTTAGACTTAAAGAAAGAAAGCAAATGAAGAAGTAAGATTCGAACAAAACTTCTTGTAAATCTACAAAAAGGAGCTTATAAAAGTATGGGGAAAAAATACATTTTTGATAACCATACATGCAGAAAGGCAACGGTCTCAAATAAGAACAACAACAAAAAAACTTGCAAATATAAGAAAACATTTTTGTGACAATAAAGTAATACATTGAAAAGAACGTTTCTATGTAATTTTACAGAAATTAAGTTTAAAAATTCAAAAAACAAAATATATACTGTGAAAAAAAATCTTTAAAAATTGCTCTTCATTTGTGAGAAGAAAGTCATCAACGTTACATGGGAATTTACGACATGACCATTTCTTTCTTCTGATGTTACAACATAATTCTTGTCTGACTATATTTGCTGCGAAGTGTGGCCCTAATAATAATAATACTAAGAAAATGAATCATAATAATGATCATCCTTTTTAGCGAGCGAGTTGTTTGCGTTTCATGAGGCATATCATGTTTAGTTTATTTCTGTCGAAACGTACACGCATGCCTCGGTGGCACAAACATTTAATGAAGCCTTCTTTCACTGTCATTTTAAAAAAATATATATTTTTAAATTGCACAAATGATTTCCTTGAATAATTGCTGCTAATAACACTCCAGAATAACTCCCACCTCGTTGTCGCCGACCCTCGCGTCCCACTCGTTTTGTTTTCTTTCAAATCAAGGATGAAATGTGGCACTTTGTCACGTGACTTTTGCAAAGAGGAAGACAGAATGGTGATGCATGAATTGCAACCGGGAAAACAAAATACACTATAAATTCTACATGGATCGTCATAATAGTACAAGAAGAAAAAGTTGGAATTGTAGTACAAAAATATACTTATTCTGAGAAAATAAATATAACCTCATGAGGAAAAAGTTCTACATTTATGCAATTAGTCATATTGCAAGGGGAAAAAAATGCAACATTTTGCAAAATGTTAATTTTAGGAGGAAAAAAAAGTTTACAAGTTTGGGCGCAATTTTTTTTTTTTTAATTATTACGCTCAAAATAGTTTTTTTTTTTAAACTACAGAGTACAATTTTAATCTTACCGTTTCCTTTTTTATGTTTATAAGCTGGTGCAATCATGAGAGAAAAGGTAATGTTGCTAATGAAAGTGTTCATCCGAGGTGATATTGGGTTGGTTGTGAGTGCAGGTGTCTGGTGGTTTGGTCGGAAGTCGTTTTATCAGATTAGGTCTTGAAGGAAATGAGGAAATAAATATGTGCGTTTGCACGTGCATGTTAGGTCTTGGAAAGGAGGAAAAAAATAACATGGACCAAAGCAGGAAGAAAAATCACATTGGAAATCATCGGCATCATTGTCATCATCAGAATTTGAAGCCAAGTCTTTCTTTTCCACCATGGGTGGGAAACATATGGCCTGTGCTCCCAATGAACAACAAAGAAAACTGTTAGAAAGAAGAAAGAACTGTTTGAAAAAGCCCTAAAACGTTGACATGCTTTTACATACAAGAATGAAGTCAGACCTTTCGCATATCACAAAAAAAAAAGAAAATGTCAAAATGAAGGGCGAGCACGAGAGAAAGATTTGAATTCATGACAATAACTACTTTAATCATTAAGTAATTCTACCACAAATTTATTCAGGGGAAAATAAATCACGAATTAAAATAGCAAATTTTCAACCCCCCCAAAAAAGTCGTAATTTAATGAGAAAAGATGGAAATACACAAAATAAAATTAATCTTATGAGAGTCCAAATATTACAAGAAAAAAGTCGTACATTAGTCACCATTTTCCTAGAAAACAAGTTTTGTTTTGAGAAAGTGTTGAAAAAAATGAACCCATGTCAAAAAGAAAAAAAAGTCACTTAAGACTTTTTTTCACAGCCCTGCAAGAAATTAGACAGAATTCAGAGTAGAGTCATCCAAAAACAAAATACCACACAAAAAAGGTCAAGTTGCAACATTTTGAGAAAATACCACAAATTTTCAAGAAACAAAAATCACAATTATGAGAATAATTTTAGAAGAATATGACAAAAGATTGTTGTTTTTCTATGTATTTTTCAGGACAGTTGTAATTGTTTTTTTAAAGCATTCTAACATTGTCATTATTTTATGATAAAATTGCAATTTTGTGAGAAACAAAGTTACACACTTCCGAATATTGCTAATTAAGCAAAAAAAGGTGTAATTTAAAGTTGTAAAAGAAAAAAAATCTTTGACAATTTTTCTAGTCTGCAGAAAAATATCCCGACCAAGAAAATGCTCATGGAGTCTCTGCCGCCTCTCATGTCAACATTTGCACAAGTGTTTTTCTATGCGGGAGTTCTCCCCCCCCCCCCCCCCGCCCCCTTCATGCATACTTTCAAGACAATATTGCTGACTTTTAACTTGTCACATTTCACTTTGTGACATCATCATATTTGACAGCAGATGCCTCAACAAAACGTTGGTGGCCATTCCTTGAACCAGTGCATGTGCTGCCCACCTTCAATGTGGTGTCATCTGACTTTGCAGGAGATGCTGTTGTGGAGCTCATATAGTGGGGGAGACTAAAATTAACGGTTTACTTGTATTTATTTTATTTAAGTGTTGTTGTGTTGTCAACATAAGCGCAAATAAGCAATACAATCTTTGTTTTTCTGTTGTTACTAAGGGATGAATACGATTTCACATTAATACCGCAGCATCTCACAAACATTTCATATCAACCTGACAAAAGATTAGCAATCAAGTTCTTGCTTTTGTGTGTGCGTGCGTGGAGGTCAAGGAGAAAAGACTGTTGAGCACAGATGTTTTTTTTGTTTTGTTTTGATTGCCTATTAATTTAATTGTTTTCTGTCAGTATGCTGCAATCCAAAGAGAGAACGTGTATTATATGAAAAAGAAACATCTATCATGTTTTTTTATTTGTATCATTTGAACAGTAATCTGATAAGAAAATAAAGAAAAGTGAAAGATCAATGAGTACTTTTTCGTTGTTAATTAAATACCGAACATCAAATATTAATGTACTTGTCATATGAATGTTTGAAACATATTTATTGTATGTACTTATTAAAGGATTACAATTATTTGATCAATTTTATGATTTATTCAAAGTAATACAACTACCCCTGTATCCAAATTCACAGGCCAAAGTTTCTGCCGAATGACATCACTTCCGGCGCGACTCGACCACACGTGGTGTTATAATTCACATAACCTATCCAAATTCATGAGGAGCCTTGGAAGGCATCAAATGACGCAGTCTCTTAATTGTCTTTCTAGAATTTGGAAATCAGGTGCGGCCAAGTTACACCGGAATAGACACGATGTGGCCGAACATGCGGACTTCGGAGGATGCGGACTTTGAATTTCACCGTCGACTGAAAATTACATCACAAGTAACGACCATGCGCGAACCATTATTTTGAAAACTGTGGAATACATTTAAAAAAACTATGAATAGTAAAGATATGCATGATGTCGTGAGGGATAGACAAAACACCAAATGTCATCTGGTCAACTGTGATCAGCTTTAATTGCCTTGTAAATAGTAAAAAACAAACAAAAAAAAAAAACAGTAAAAATTGAACAAATCAAAGTTATGCAACTGATGGCAAAAAAGGCAGTATATTTAGTCGTGTGGCGTTTTCTACACATTTGAGCATCCGTACAAGGCACTCCATCTTAAAACAAGTAATGCGATGAAAAAACACATTTGGCTCCGTATTGCCTTTGACTTGGCCTTATTTTCATATTCGCGTTCTTTGTCTTAAAGATTTTCTGAAAGCAAGTAAAAGTCCATTGATTCAGTCGATTGCATTTTACAGTCACGTTTCCTCTTCATCATTCAGATTTTACAGCAATAAACAAAAACAAAATGAGCTACAGTTAAGAATGAGCTACATTTCCCTTTGAAAGGATGCCAGGCGAAGAACAGGGCCGTGCACACGGGTGGGTCCGTGGGGTGGGCGACTTACAAAAAAAAAGATGAGTTAGGTGGTGTGTTCAAGAAAACTGGGAAGTCAGATATTTCAGACCAGAAAATCATTAGGGGGAGGGGCGGAGGTTTTGTGGGAAATACGCCTTTTCAAAAGACGATCAAAACAACCATCAAGGGATTCTCTTAATTTGACATAATTTTGAAAAGTGAAATTTGAAACAATCTTGGGTTACTTTTTCAACATATGATTCCAAAATATATTTCGAGGACAGGTGTCAAATTCAAGTCCATGCGGCCAGATCTGACCAAACGCATAATTTTACGTGGCCCACAAAAGGAAATGATGTGCATGACTTCCTGTTTCCTGCTAAATACCAAAATTGCAACTTTTCTTCATTTTGAAAACTGTTAAGACAAAATAAATGTCATATGTGAGCAGGTTTTACTTGACTCAGGTTTCAAACCTATTCATCTCTATGTTGTGTGTGTACATATAAAATATGAGGTGGGCATACATTCTTTTGGGTTCACAGTCATAAGGGCCCTGGAAAGGAAACCATAACTACGATCTTGCCAGGAACAAAAATGAGTTTGATACCCCGGGGTTAGGGTTTCAAAGTAGGGTTAAGGTTTCAGAATATGCTTTTAAAATAGTGTTAGGGTTTAGTCAGCTTCAAAATGGGTTCAGGTTTCAAAGTAGTGTTAGGGTTTCAAAGCAAGCTTATAAAGTGCATTGAAGGTTTAAAAAATAGGGCTACGGTTTCAAAGCATGGGATGTTGCGTCACCCTGGCCACTTCACTGAAAAACTTCAGACTATGCCACTGTTCTAAAAATGTTCTTCTCATGGATGTCAGTTGCCCCCTCCAAGCCCCCCATTTCCATTTTACTGCACCATGGATTCGGCACTTGATATTTCTGACGTCCCCCCTTTGTTGAACGCACCACCCTCGGACCTAATGAGTGTCCACTGGGATGAAAAACAAGTTGAGGTATTTGCGGTAGTGTGTCAGGAATTTGCACGTTGCAGAGCCATCGTGGACGTCGTCTTCACGGCAACAACACAGACAACAAAAGGCACTTGAACACAAATTCTTAGCGGATTGTTGAAACGATTCCACTGTGAATGATTGCAATTGGTAAAAACATTGAAACCTGTCAACAAAAGAGAGGAAGAGTGAAATCGGGCTTGATCAAACATCTACAATGACTCCATGTCATTTCTTTTTTTTTTTTGCGACACATTTGACGGCATATTTTCAGCTGCGGTCTCAGTGTGCCCTCGTTTAGCTGCTACACGTGAATGTGGATTGAAAAAAAAAAAAAGCACCTTTATCAACAAAGAAATGACACTTGGTGTTTAAAACACATCGTAAGGCAGAAAATCCAACTGAAAAGAAGGGACGTTTTGGAGTGACTCCACACATTTGATGTGTCGAAATAAAAACATCCGTTTGAAAAGCAAAGACTTTGGCTTCTGTCAATGGAAGCTACTTTTCGTTCCTGGAAATGGAAACACGTTTTTGTAGAACTTAAAAATTGCACCCTCACAGTTTATATTATGTAGGATATATCTATATGTATACATGTACAGTACATAGAGGAATATGTATTTTTTCTCATGTGACATAACAGCGCATCGTTACGGTTATGGACGCAAGCTGGATGGCCGCCATGGGTTTGATTGGCCGAATGAGGTTTCGTTGTTGTGTTTTATGGATGCCACGCAGCTCTAAAATTGTTGATGTAACTTAGTTTATTTTAAAAAACTGTTTTCTTTCTTTGCACTCACAACTTTTGAATCATAACTGCCTCCCCAATTCACATTGGTTATCGTGACGCCCCTCGTCTAAACACACTTACTGGAATTGATCAGAACATTAATCAACATTTGACATAGCTTATCATTTCAACCGCTCTTGCTCTTGGAAAGCGTCACTCGCCGCCATTTTATTTGATGAAAAACACATTTTGAAGCCATCATTTGTAGTGATGGGAAAATGACGCTTCAAATTTGCTTCTTGAACCAGTTATTGTATTTTTTTTTTACTCCTCTTTATGGCACTCTGTCTTCAACATTGGCCCCAAAGTTCACTTGTCATTTGTTTAAAACCACTTAATTTAAACAAACAGTGCCCTCTCGTGGTGTAAAAAAATACAATAGGTTTTAAGCAAATTTGAAGCTTTATGATCCCTCCTAATAATTTATGAACAATTATAATGCTGGAGTGATGCTTATGTTGTGCAATTGAACAGCATGCATAACAGCATGTTTTTTTTTCAATTTGTATATCTTGACATCCATAATTTTTGTTATTTTGATCGTCAATTTTTCAGGTCACATGACACAATCTGTTTTTTATTTTTTTTTTGTTTGGTTTGGTTTTGCCATCTATGGCATGGAATTATTCTGCACTAAAATGCCATATTAGCCCCCAAAAAACCCAAAACGCTTGTGTATATGAATTTTTGAGGCTACACCGTTGAAATCACAGTGTGACAAGCGTCTCATCAGTCATCATGAACTCTCATCATAACGTTGGCTGACAGAAAGTGGTGGGAGGTAATCCGGGTTTTGCTCAAATATTTGCATACAAACACGATGACGTCACCTCCTTTCAGTCGTCTTCCACCACCTCTGTCTTGATGTGATCGGCCAAGGCGGAGGCCGCCCCGCCCGCTCCATCCGCAGCCCCCTTCTCCATACTCTGCTCATCCTGGAGGGACGAAGACGGCGACCACGACGGCCGACGCCCCGACGCCTGCGCGCGACCGTTCAGGGAGCAGCCCCGCGGCCCTGACGCACCCCCTCGGCTTAGGGCGGCCATCCAGCTGGGCAGCAACGTGGGAACCTGCCGTGGGAAATGACACCCTGGAGTTATTCGGCACTTCTTGAAAGGTCGGCAAGGAAAATAGATGACATTTTCAGAAAATGCATCATTTAAAAATAATCCAATATAATTAAAAAAATGAAATAAAACTTTTGACACTGGTTAACATTTTTTTTTACTAAATATTCTCAATCAGAGATGCAAGTAAACGTTTCTAGAAATTTTGGTTCCGAATCTGCCCTGACTTTTTTCCTCGAACACATCATCAATCATCATTCATAAATCGCGCTCCAAAGAGCAATCAAGGGCCCTCACAACCAACAATACTTTTAGGGACATTTCTGATTCAAATTTGCTCTTTACCAATGTAATAAATAACCTCCATTTCACACAATCAGGTATCAGAAGAACTTACCAAAAAAAAAAAAAAGACCCTCCAAATTGATTGGACATCTCGAAAAATGAAGCTGTCAAGAAAAAAAAAAGCAAGCATACAAGGTTCTTGTTGTTGTACACAGTACCTGCTCGTCGTTGGCGTCCGCCTCATCGCCATTGGACTGACCTCCAGGACTCTGGACATCGATGCTGTGGTTCTCCAAGATGGCAGCTTCTTCGAGAAACACACACACACACACACACACACTCCTCACAGCTTTTGAACATCCAAAAAAAAAATACTAAATGGCGGGTGACAGACAACGGCGTTACCAATGTTGGCGCGCCTCTTGATGTCCTTGCGGCGGTTGGCGAACCAGTTGTACACCTTCAGAGACGTCACCTTCTCAAAGTCCAGAAGCTTTTTCCCTGAACAACACACCCAGCAAGTGCTCACTTGTCATTTTTGGATGCCGAGGAGCAGGAGGACACCGGCTGAGAGATTGGACCCACCTGGTTTTTGAATGACGGCGTTGCAGGCCATGGAGATCTCCTCCCTCCTCGCCTCGTCAGGATATTGATTGTCACTGAAGTAGCTGCACGAGCGTACGCGCGCGCACGCAAACACACAAATACAAATCATCATTAAAGGTGTCCTGTCACTTAGCAGTGTAGCAATCTGTGTAAATGTTACCTCTCCATGACGGCCAAACACTCTTTCCTCCAAGTAAATCTGTTCCCCCGGCGCAGGCGAAAGCCCCCCGGGGCAGGCGTGAATGTGGGCGGGGCCTGCTGCCAGTCCATCACCACGTCCTCCAGAGTCAGTGGGGAGTTATGCATGGCCAGTGTGGCACCTTATTGGGGTGGGCACATTTTCACATTATTGTAGTTTTTTTTTTCCTCCAACAAATACACACACAAAAAATGGATGCACGGTGAGCCAGAGGTCAATTCCATGTTTTTTTTTTGGGGGGGGCGCGCGCACGCAAACACACAAATACAAATCATCATTAAAGGTGTCCTGTCACTTAGCAGTATAGCAATCTGTGTAAATGTTACCTCTCCATGACGGCCAAACACTCTTTCCTCCAAGTAAATCTGTTCCCCCGGCGCAGGCGAAAGCCCCCCGGGGCAGGCGTGAATGTGGGCGGGGCCTGCTGCCAGTCCATCACCACGTCCTCCAGAGTCAGTGGGGAGTTATGCATGGCCAGTGTGGCACCTTATGGGGCGGGCACATTTACACATTGTAGGTTTTTTTTCTCCAACAAATACACACAAAAAAATGGATGCACGGTAAGCCAGAGGTCAATTCCATGTTTTTTTTTTGTGGGGGGGGGGACAGATGAATAGACGGACAGCCCAATCGATGGACAAACAGATCGATAGAAACCGATGTGAATAAAAATTAAAGTGGGGAATCTATGGAGAGAGGAAGAATGTGAGAAGAGGGCCAAGACTTTTTCAAGGCACTCTCGACAGACAGAAATGACGAAGACACCGAGGTAGACAAACGGATAGGTAAGCACAGACAAGAGAGACGGACGGGTGTGCTCTGACCAGGGCTGCTCTTCTCCAGCTGATACCATCTGAAGAAGGCTCGTTTCTTCTGCTCGCTGAGGTCGGATCCTTGCTGCAGCAACCAGTGGGAAATGCGGCTCTGACTAATTCCTGCAAGAGGACCGAGACCGTTGAGCTGCCAAGTTAGAGGAAGAAGGAAGAAGGAAGAAGAGGAGTTTGGGCGACACGCACCCGTCACCTGTGCGACCACGGCCTGGGAGATGCGCCTGCTGGCCAGGAAGCACTTGATCTCCTCCTTCATGACGCCGCTGTCTCTCCTAAAACCACACACGCACTTTTTGTTGGTCCCGAACAGCCACAAAAACAGTCGCTATGGTTCACTGCAGCACATCCATTCCCCGTGTCTCCTACCTCATCAAGTCTTCCACTTTCTCATCCACATCTACGTCGTCATCGCCCGCCTCAAACCCGAAGCCCACCACCCCACCGCCCACCAGAGGAAATCTGGTCAGTGGCGACACCTTCCCGTTGGTCTGTGCTACCGTTGCCATGGCGACAGGCAAAGTGACATCAAAGCTAGTCGGCGATAGGCGGCTTTCGGAGAAGACTGTCTGAGTGGCCACAGTGGAAGACGAAGGCGGGGCGTAGGAAGAGGTTTGGTGGTTTGAGGTGTGCCTGTGGGGACGATCCAGGTGCTCCAAAGTGTCCAAGGCATGGAGGAGATCAGCCTGGCCGATGCCTGTCCTCCTGAGCCTCTGTAGGAGGTCGATCTGTTCGATGGTGAAGCGAGGCTCTTCACAATGCTGGAACATCCTACAAGACAACAGTGAAGTCCATTTAAAAGTATTTTTACATGTGTCTGGCCTCCATTTTATGATTGATTTCAAAGTTCCCAATTTGACTCATCTCCCTTATATTGTTATTATCATAATTATTATAAGTATGATAAAAATCTATTTAAAATAGTGATAAATCTGTCATAATGGTCTATTAAGAGTGAAAATGGAAAGACTCGTGAAAATGGGCATTAAAGTTAAGAAATGATTGAAAATTGTTAAAGATTTTGTGGAAAAAAAGTCAAGGAAATGGTGGATAAGTTTGTGACAATGCTAAAAATATGTGAGTGAAAAGGGGAAACACGGTGAAAGGGACACAAATTGTAAAAACAAATAAAAATAATGTAAATACAGTACTGATAATCTGTTTACTTTACATTAAAAGTTGTTCCTCTTCGTGTCTGGAAGGAGGGAAAAAGGCACTCAAGCGGCAAACTAATGTGAGTAGAGAAGGAAAAAATGTGATATATTTATATATATAATTTGTCTGTGTGTGTTTGTGTGTGTGCGCGCCAGTCATCAAATAAAGACTTGAAATGTTTTACTTTGAGGGTGGTGAACAAATAACACTCGTTTCACTTTTTGAAACAAATTATTGAAAAGAATAGAATGTTCCTTGATAGTCTACTTTTTCAGATCCAGCCACGTTTTGGGGTTGTTTGTTTTGCAGCAACTACTGGACACTGAACGAAAAAGAAAACAGCATAAACCACAGCAACATAGGTAAGGAACTTCTATTTTACAGGACATTGGGAGCCACTGCAGCTAATTGGAGACTGCGGCAACATCCAAAACTGAAGGTACAGCTAACGTTGGTGTATTGTTATTAATGTAAATATATTCTTTAACAAACTCCTCCCACGGATTTGTGTCAACAAATTTGAACAAGCAATAAACAAACAATGTCAGTTGGCTCAAATTGCCTGACAAGTTTCACCGCGCTGTGCTTGGAACTTTTCCATCCCACACCAAAGCCCATTGAAAAAAAACAGCCGATTTTGTCCTGCTTGGTACACTGTAAAACTAACCACCGGTAATTGTCTAAATCGGTTTTGTGGCTGACGAAGATGCCTAAATCGCCCAAATCACAGCGGCAAGACGGATTGCAAACGTGCCGAATCAAAGCGGAACTCTGACCTCAACGAGGGAGACTAAGATGTATAAATTTGGGGGATTGTATTTAAACATCTGGCGAAACATCGCAGGCCCGCCGGCCGTTTAAAGCGAGGTTCGACCACCAGCACCTCTCACGTATTGAAGGAAATCAAGCGGGCTAATGAAAGCATAACACAGCTGCGCCTCGCAACTTACCTTGCTTATTCCAGTAGACAGTCCTCCATAGATTATAGTTGTAACATGCGGTCTTATAGATTGCCTCAATGGAGCCTGGGCACTCGTATGATGTTAATTTTCCCCGAAAAAAACGTTTTCTCTGGGTTGTATTTGGGCTTCAGCCCACCGTCAGACGGATTCGCCTTTTGTCCGCGAGACGGGTGCCATGTTTGACACTGCGCCGCAAGGCACGATGGGAGTTGGTGTTTCAAAAGCAGGCGTTAGGATGTGTTATGACCGCGTTCAGTACAATATTTGGGGATTATATGAGAACACAAAAAGAGCCCCCGCAGCTGTGCGCAAAAAAAAATATTGTCTGTTTTAAAGTGCATTTAAAAGTTTGACATTTATAAAATACATATTTATGTAATTAAATATTCCAATATTTCTGATGATTCCTGACCTATTAATAAAAGGAAATATTGTATTAATTCATTCTTTATATCATATTATCTAAATATTTCCAGTTATATTTCATTTTAATGTAGTGCAAAATAACATTGAGAATGTAATATTTTTTTCACTTGCAATTGTTTAAGTTTACATTCCAATTATTTAATTTACTGGGTATTTATTTATGACTTGAAAGAATCACAACACAATGAAACTAGAAAATCTTTATTTAAAAAGAAAATGTACAGTAAGCGGCTTAAGAGGTAAATTTTCACTGCCAATGTTTCCCAGTCCAAAGACCTTAAATGCGCTGTGCTGGGCCATCTTTAATGTTTGACGTGACCACTTGATTGACAGGTGTCAGTGGATGGTTCACCACAGAGGCGCTCGGGCTAACATTCCCTTCCACGTGAGTGAGTCCACCACCTGTAACGGAGCAGGCAAAATTTTTTAGACACTTAACTGAATGAAGCGCCTCTCGTGAAATCAGTCTTCGCTTACCTGCATTCTCTTGTGAAGAAACATCAACTTCTGGTTCAGACATTCAATCTCCTGAGAGCACAGTGAAAAAGGAAAGTATGAACATATGATTAAAAAAAAAAAAAAAAAAAAAAAAACACACAAAAAAG